GACGGGAAGGAACAAAGTCATTGGGGAGGGCTAATGGGCAGGGTCCCAGAATGTGGAGGGGAGCAGAAACTGGCCCTCCGTCTCCTCAGGGAGACTTGGTGATGGGAGGTGATGGCCCTGCCTTCTCGGGGAGTATGAGGCCAGGGAAGCTGCTGAGGATGGGTGATGGGGGGTAGATTGCGAGGGGCAGACAGTGGAAATAATTGTCTTAGAGAAATTGAGCTGAACGACACAGCTGTCTGGGGTTAACAGGCACGTGAGCTCCGAGATCGTGAGGTTAAAATTCACAGGCTTCATAGCACCAAACTGTGGTCTTGAAATGCCCTTTTCCACTGAAAAAAATCAGGACTTTTTGGAAAAATGATTCATTTCAGGCGGAGGAGCAGAAAATGATGAGCCTGATGCTGTCACACCAAAAGGCCAGGAGCCCATCAAGTCCACTGGCGCCGAGTCAAGAGGACCAGGAGGTAACTCAGAGAGGTTCCCACTGGCCAAAGAGGGAACATTGCGAACATCAGTAAAGCTGAAACTGCAGTGGACTGGAACACATTCAATATGTTTCCATTCGAATATGAGTTCATAGTGCAAGTTAAAAAAAAAAAACCTACATTAATTGGTCATCATTGGAGGATATTAACCAATTCACCGAGATCATTATTTTGAATACAAGTAAATTAAGGAAAAGGATCCTATTCTACCTGTTTTGTTTGTGTTACCAATAGGTAAACCACTAGTAGATGGGAGTATTCTGTTAATGGAAGAATTTTAGCTACCAGTGAAGGAGAAATGATCGAACAGAACAGAATTGTTTGGGGGAGGATTACAGACAACATTGATGATCAGTGACTGCTACATTACAAAGACGGACAGACCTGTGCTTTCTGACGGGAAGAACGCCCCACCCATGAGACAGTCTGCGCGGGTGTCCGCGAAGCAACACCGCAGGGGCACGCTCAGCAAACAGCCTGCGGGGCAGCGCTGGGCGTGCAGCCTCGTTCTCAACAAGCAGTCCGCAAGGGGGAAAGAATGGAGGGAAACCGACCTGTGAAAAGGGGTTTACTTGTATGATTTACACAAACCATTGGGGAGAGCAATTTAGGACATTTATGAGACAGTTGGAAATGTGACCGCTAACTGAATATTTGATCATATTAAATAATGATTGTTCAGAGACATGACACCAGCGTGCAAGGTTGTGCAGTCTCTACAGCGACGGTGAGGACACGGGCTACAGGCAGAGCAGACCACTGAGCGACCCGCAGAGCTGCAGTCCGGGGCAAGGATGAATCGGTTCATTAACGAGCTGATACTAGCGGCTTTTTTGCCTTAAGTATCCACAGTGTTGTGAATCTCTAATGAAATAACAGATATAAAAAAGTACTTTGAAAAACTATGAAATTTTACTTAAAAATTAGGGCTAGAAATCTTTGAAAGACAGCCGGACAGTACACACGGAGACTCAATAAGTAGTAGTATTTGCTGATGGGTTGCTTTGCTTTGCCACTTTTATGGTGATCATATTTTCTCAGCCCCAAAAAGGGGTCTGTGGGCTGCAAAAGGATAGTTTCAAATTTATATTTGTTTATTTTTTTATTCCTCACCTGAGGATATTTTCCAATTTATTACCAGATAGAGTGGGAGGGAGGGAGAGAGAAAGAGATACATCAACACAATAGAGCAACATCACTGGTTGCCTCCCGCACAACCCGACCAGGGCCCGGGATGAATGCAGCCGAGGTATGTTCCCTTGACCGGAATCAAACCTGCAACTCATTGGTCCGCGGGCCGACGCTCTAACGGCTGAGTCAAGCTGGCCAGGGCTCTAATTTGTATTTAGATGAAAACTCTTATTAAGGTATAAAATTTAGGTCATAATTAGCTGTGTTTTAATGAACCCCTTTTAAGGAAAGCACAAAGGTACATGAAATGGAAAGGAACCCAGAAAAGCATAGGTATTGTCACCTCCACGTGAGTCGGCGCCTCAGTAGAGAGCTGTGTCCAGCGTGTGCCCCACATTTCAGAAGTGGGGAACCGGAAGACAGTCAAGGAAAGCGACCAGTGTCATCAAACAGAAGAGAGGAGACAGTGTTCACGGGAATGCTGGTCCCGGGGGGGGGGGGGGGGCAGAGTCTCCGTCTCAGGTTGGTCGTGTGCTTTGAATAACCTGAAGCCGGTGACTAGATCCTTGGGTACGCAGAGGGCCAAGCTGGAAGAAAGGCGCCGTGAAAAGTCTGCCTGCACCCCCATCTTCTGAAACTGCTCTCATCAGGGCAGTCGTGACCCCACATGGCCAGACCCAAAGGACCTGTCCTCGTGTCACTGGACCCCCGCAGAGGCCCTCAGGATGCCATCTGCTCCATGAGAGGCTTCCTGCCCTTGGATCCGGGACCCTAACGGCTGGCAGGCCTACCCAGGGGACCGCTCCTCCCCCTCAGCGCACATGCCAGCACCTCAGCTCAGGCTGCGCCCGCCCTGTCTGACCAGCACTCGGCCTTGGGAATTCATCCGGCCCATGCCTGCAGCCTCCACAGTTACCTGTCTGCCCAGGGTGACTAGTTCCAGGCTCACAGTCACCTGTCGGGCAGGACAGCAGGTACAGGGGAGGGGAGGCAGACATTCTCCAGTGCCCGGATGTTGCTCTGGCGGACGGGAGCTGCCCAGCCCAAGGTTGTACCTTGCCTGGACACAAAGACTGGTCAATACATCAGACATCTCCAGGGCCACCCGACTCTGCTGGTCCTGAGGGATCAGCGGGGCCCTCCGTGGAGAGCCCTCCCCACTGTACCTCCTGGGCGGTCCCCAGCTCAGTCTATGTCCCAGGGAACCGACCCCGAAACCACAGGGAGGCCCATAGTGCTCAGACCTGGAGAGACGGTGAAGGTAGAGCTGACAGAATGACGGCGAAGGGCCAGAGGAAGGATGAGCCGAGGTCGCAGGACCCGCTTCCTCTCAGGGCCAGGGCTTGGACGTGACTTCTGGGCACCCCGCGCCACAGCACGTCGGGGCCTTTCCCGCTGAGTCTGAGGTGCACGTGAGGACATTGCTGAAATCAGGGCACAGCTAACGATTTAAATTGTTCAACTGGCAGCATTTCTTCTTGCTCAGAGGGACAGAGAACAGTGGTTCGTGCTACAATTGCTTGTCTTACAGTCTATAAGCTGTAAAGCTCCAGTGCTGGTCCCATATGTAGGGAAACTTCTGAAATAGCTGAGCAGCCACGGTGCGGAGCTCGGAGTGATGAGGGCAGGGAAGGCAGGAGAGAGGAGGAGAGAGCATTAGAAAGACTTGTCCCCTCCCTAAGATCTTATACCTCATTTGTGAACCAGGACTAAGACTAAAGAAATATAAAAACACTTCTCAAGGGACACGTGAGCAAGTGAGCGCTGAGGTGCACACCCATGAATCGAGTGTACACGAACAGTATTCTCCGGAATCTCGCGATTCCAGAGAGGCCTCCTGGCAGAAGGAAGCTCGGAATTTGAAAGGAAAGGAAAATGGGCCAGAGGCTACGCTGCCTCATTTAATGGGCACACTGTTCTCATGGGGAATGTTTCATTTTACAGAGAGAAACTGTGTGTACAGCTCTTTATGCACATCCTACCTGGGGTACCCACCACTTCGTAACTGAATTTGAGAGCAAGGGGGCGGAAGGCTCTAGAATGATTTGACTCTCTGCTGGTTGTTCATGTGAGAGTCATCACTGGGAAGGTGCCCACAGACAAATGCCCGGTCGTCCTAGTCAGTACTGGATGTCTGCAAGGGCACCACAGAGGCCTTGTTGACACTGGGGCTCTGCCCTCTGGAACATGCCCACAGGACAAAATGGCTTGACCCATGGTTGTCTCCTCAGTGTGAGCAGAATGGTATGTGAAGGGACCAAGCTGTCTGGGGGCCTGAGGGCAACGCCCCATGGAGGTCTGTGGGGGCAGTCCACACAGGTCCACTGCAGGAAGGAAATGAAACCTCCAAACCCACCCAAAGGGCGATTCCAGGCAAGCCCTCTCCCCATGCAGGTGAGTCCTGACAGCCAGGCTGGAACCCAGTGCTAAGGAAGACCCTGCCCCCCTTACTTAGCTCCGGGGTCCCTCATCCTGAGATGGGCCAGCACTCCAATGGAGGATGCCGGCTATGTGCAGGTGTCTACATATAGGTGGGCACACACCTCATTGTAGCATCTGCCGTGGGAGGAGAGTTAGCCAGTTGGCTCAGGAAGGGCACAGGCGGGACCGGGAAGGGCCCCCCTCCTGCGGGCCCACCAGCACCTCAGTGTCGTCTTCCTGGTTATTTCTCAAGCTTTCAGCTCGTTACTCCCCCCCCCCCTCCCCCAGACCCTGCATCCATCCTGCACGGGACTGGGGTGGGGGTGGGGACAGATGGAGGAAAGGCTCGGAGAAGTCAAGGTCACAGAATTGGCAGGTGCAGAGACAGAGATCTCAGTCTCTCCAAGACAGCTCGCCTGTGCTGCTATCTCCACGAAGGGCTGGTAGGAGGCCACCTTGACCCTCCTCTGCCCCTTCACCGGACCGTCACTGAGCCTTTGGGGCGCATTAGCTCGATCCTCACCTCAACCCGTGGCAGGTACAGTTATTGACCCCGCTTCACCCGCCGGGCAACTGAGGCAGGGGGAGTCGAAGTGACCGCGTGGACGCGACAGCGGGGCGCGGCTCCCGGGGCGGGACGGAGCGGCTGCCGCCCGGTCCCAGCCCCGGCGCCGGCGGCCGGCTGCCCATATAAGGCCGCGGCCCCCGGCCACCCCTCCGGCCGGCGGCAGCCGCCTCCGCGCCCAGGAATGTGCGGAATCTGCCGCCCCCCGCAGGAGGACCACCCTCCGCCCGGGCCTCACGCGGGGCAGCGCTGCGCCCCGAGCGGCGGAGCCGGGGCCGGACCGGGCGCCGCGCGCTCTCACCTGCCCGGCGGCGCGGGCCGGGCGGCGGGGAGGAGCCTGCGGGGCGGGAGCCGGCGCAAAGCGAAAGCCGGGAAGTCGGCGCGGGAGCCGGGCCATGGCTCTGAGCAAGGGGCTGCGGCTGCTCGGGCGGCTGGGGGCCGCGGGGGACGGCGGCGTCCTGCTGGAGGCGCGCGGCCGCGGGGACTGCCTGCTCTTCGAGGCCGGCACGGTGGCCGCGCTCGGTGAGTGCCCGCGGGGGTCGGGGTCCTGCCGGGGAGGGCGCCCGGAGAGGGCGCTGCCTTGCGGAGGCCAGAGACAGGGCAGCCTCCTTGGCCGGGGCGACCAGCCCGGGCTCAGCGCAGACGGCCCGGCGTGGAGTCGGGGGCCGGTCTGTGTGAACGAAGGGGCGCCCGGGACGCCCCGGCCGGGCTCCCATCTGCGCGCCGGGCGCAGGGCCCGACCTCGGAAAGCCGCCTCCGGCCTGGATGCCGGATTCCCGAGGATCCGGGGGCCGGTGGAGCCAGCGGGACTCTGTGCCTGGCTCTCGTTTTCCTTTGCACCTGTGGATGGAACCCTTCGGTCTGTGTAGCTTCACTCCCAGAGGGAGGGACAAAATCACCACGAACAGACCCGGGGGACCGCGGGTGCTACCTGTGTGCGTTACCAGGGGAGTTGAGTGGTCTTGGACTCCAGGTGTCCCTATGGAGAGTGATGTCCGCACTGGCCACTCAGCCCCTGCAGACTCCTTCCAGGGGCTTCTACATGCAGTCAAGCCATCTCATGTTTGGTCTTCCTCTTCTCCGGCCCCTTTGCCTTAGATAAATGCTGGGGAGAGGCCCCCTTACTGCAAAGTATAGAACTTCCTGATGACTCCACCTTTATGTGGGGTGTTTTTGAGTTAGATGCCAAGCTAGTATGTTTCAGACAGGGCTTCAGGAAGTCTTTAGACCGGCATTGTGTCAAAGACTTTAGAGACCATCTCATTTATTTTTATGATTCTACAAACGAACTATTATTATCCCCATATTACACATGCGTAAACTTAGGCCTGAAGAGGCTAAGAAGCTTGCTTGCCGAAAGTGACATTTCTCTGCCGGACACCTGTGTGGCTGTTGTGGAATCACGGACCCCTGGCCCCTTGTGTTGTGGCTAATATTCATGAGGAAGACTTGGTGACACCAAAGTGAGCAAAACCAGGGAAGATGGTTAGATCTGGAGACTAGACTCCCAGCTGGTGTCCGGCTGTACCACCTTCCCTCGCTCGTCGCTAAACAGAGGTGTCTCTTGTCCTTTAGGTGGTGAATGGCCGGTGCCCTCACTTCTGCAACACTTTGCCAATGTCTCTAGTCTTTTGGTGACCTTTGTATGCATCAGTTCTTCAGCTAGGATACATGTCTTGGAAGGACCCTCTCTTCTGGTTCCACTGCCCTAGTAATTTCATTAGCATACAGTTATGGGCTTGTTTTCCATCGCTTGGTTTCTGAAATAATGTCTCTAGTTTTGTCAAAACCATAAGTGTACAGCGAATCACGGAGTAAATTATTTTAGGTTATTCCAATTTGTACTTGGTCCTGGAAAGTCCAAGTTTGGTCATTTGCTAAGGTCTTGTGCGAAAACCACAGAAATTTCCATTCCATTTTAGATGTCCACTTCATACCGCATTTATCAGAGCTGAGAGATTAATTTCACGGTACAACACTCATTTCATCAAAGAGATTAAAATGTCCTTGGGTTGAATTACAATGTTAGGCAAGAGTTATGCACATTTGAGTTCCTTTGAAGCCCCTTGAGAAAAGAGACTTTATTTTTTCAAAAGTGAAGATTTTAAAATGATTAATGAAAGTAAAGTCATGCACAGTTTCCATCTGGAAGTTAAGTTGGAGCTGAGATACATGTACGATACATGGATGATTCCAGTACCCTGGATGTTAGAACCGAGAGTGTAATGAAAGGAATGGCATGTCCTCACCTCATGTGCCACCCACATTTGTCACTGAACCTAACATGCATGTTTCAGTAGACCTTGGGCTGAATACTTAATTTTTTTTTTTTTTTTAATCCTCACCCAAGGATATTTTTTCCATTTTTGTTCAGATAGAGAGGGAGGGAGAGAGAGAGAGAGAAACATCAACGTGGGAGAGACACATCGACTGGTTGCCTCCCGCATGACCCCAACCGGGGCTGGGGATGAACTGCAACTGAGGTACGTGCCCTTGACCAGAATCGAACCCGCGACTCATTGGTCCTTAAGCTGATGCTCTTAACTGCTGAACCAAACCAGCCAGGGCCTGAATACTTAATTTTTAAAGTCTGTTTTTCTTATATTAAGTGCAACTATTTTTTAAAAGCAGCTGTGGCCTTTGGTGGTATCGCGGGGCCTGGGAAGGATCGTGAGAGCACGTGTTACGAGAAAGTTGTTGTCAAACGTTACAGGATCCTAAACATGCCACGACCGGCCAGAATGGCTCTGAACTGGGCATTTCCACCTGTGTCCCAACAGCCTTGCTCTTTTGGTTTCCTTTCCATGACAAGGTGCAGAATGCTTTCATTCTCTCCCCTACGAGTTTGCAGTTTCTGCTTGGAGAGTACCCCTGCGGCAGCGGGCGGCCTGGCAGTTGGCGGGATGCTGACTGTCACCCTTTCCATGAGGTTCAGCGTTAGGGTAACTTCCTTTTTCACTTCAGCTGTGGTTTCCTTTGAGGGGTCTGCCCTGTAAGGAATGAGCAGCCAGGAGACTTGAGTGGAGGGTTCATTCCTATGTGGGTAGTGACTTCTCCTGGGCCACTGGACAGTCCTCAGTTCTGCCCAAGTCTGTGGCAGAGGCATGCTGCTGGTGGTTTTATGGGGAGCAGCAGGAGGGCTGGGCTCTGACAGCCAGCCACCAGGAAGCACAGCTCTTCAAGGCGCATGGAACCCCGTAAGGACCCTAACTTGCAAAGGCCCCTCTGTGGAAGGGCTCACAATTGCTTAGTGTTTTCAGGCAGTGCTTGGAGGCAGTCAGGTGCTCGAATGGGGTTGTGAGCTTAGGAAAATGAACGATCCTTGGTTGGTGGATTGCTGGTACAGCCCTTCTGTTCCAACGCGACTGCAGAGGGCTCCACACCAAGTCGTCTCGCCAGCCAGAGGAAGAGTTGCCGAAGGAATACGTCCCAGTTCCTGCTTCTAAAAGAATTCGCTGGAGAATCAGTCTTCAGTGGGGATCAGTGGGAACAGGAACTCCAGAGGCAGGAAAGCCAAACATATTGGCACCTGTTCGAAAGGTTTTTGTCACGTTTTCTCGGTGGCCTGATTGAATAGCAGGAGGCTTCTCAGGTAGAGATGAAAAGCTGTAGCATGGAACAATTCCCCTTGGCCTGCAGATCAAAACTGGGGTACAGAGGTTTTCTTATTTGCCCATTGGGATAAAAAGTACTTGCTGTCCTTGTCTCTGTCTCTTTTAGACAGTGTGGACAAGGTGAAGGGAAATGAGCCTGTCGTTCATGAATCCGTTCATCCCCGGGCCAGCCCCAATGCTCCAAAGTCCAGAGTTCTCCAAACAGCCCCCAGGAGGGGCGCGGCCCTGCCTCTGCACCCGTGGGTGAGCCAGCACCTGTCCAACAGGCAGTGGGGGTGGAGGGTGGGAAGGAGACTTGGGAGACTTCATTAATTAGTGAGTGTCCCTAAATTACTTTGAGCTTCTGGGGAAGAAGTTTCTGTGTAAACATGGGGCCCGGGTTTTGCCAGTTGCCGTGTTTCTGTAGAGAACACAGGGGCGTGCTTTGTTTGAACGGGGCGGTGGCCATGGGCCGGGCCGGCCTCCTCTGCTGTTGCCCAGATCACTTTCCCGGGCTTTGTGGCCTGGATTTCTTTGGTCAGTGACTTGAAGTTTGACCTGCTGAAGAGCACCTGAGGATCACACGAGTGGCCGTTCCATCACTTCTCCTGGGTACAGGGGAGCAGGTGGCCAGGTGGGGCTCTAGGCTCCTGAGGGGACAGCTGAGCCAGCAGCCTGGTGGCCTCCATCGCTCGAGCTCGGGTCCGTCCTAGTTGTCGGTTTGGTCAACATAATATTTACACATGCAGGCTGGGTCAGGGCTTCTACCTGTGGTTTTGGTTAACTCACTGGTAGGAACGTGATTCAAATCTTGCCAGGCTCCTTTCGGGGGCTTTAATCTTTAATTGTGAACATTTTTAAATGTGCATGAAAGTGGAAGGAAAAATCAAGTCCTGTGTACCTGTCACCCAGCCTTGATAATTACCGATGTATTTCAAATCCATGTCACCCATGCCTGTAATTTTTTATGAACAATGGATCTTCTAAAATTTAGTTGGTTCAATGCCAAGCAAGATGGTGATTTCCTTGGCTCCCCCCACCCCAACTTGCACGTGTGTGTGTAAATTTACTCGATAGATTGAAATACAACCAACAGCGGAAATGGTGGTGTGAATGGATTCTGAGATTCTGGCCAAGATAGTTTTAAAAGCAAAGTGGTCACGTGGAAAGAGCCAGCTGCCTGGAAGGCAAGGTGTCCCCTCCTCGGGGATGGCGTGGATGGGCTCAGGAGACGGTCTGCTCCTCCACCAAGGAAGAGGGGCCTTGCCCCCTACCCCTCGCCGGAATGAGCAGTGGGGCTGAGGGCCGTGTCCACCTGCTGCTTGTGCTCCCCCATTCGGACCTCCCTCCAGGTACACAGGACCCTGGCGCCTCCTAACACGGGGTGCCCAGCCCGCTTCAGGGCTGCTCAGGTCTCTTCTCAAGACCCCGGCAGACTGCAAAGTGGGGGTGTCCACTCCGGGCCCTGGAGAGCGGGGTGTGGTGAGGGTACAGGGTGTGGGAGGAACTGGACACACGCCGGCTGTGGGCGAGACCCCGGCAGGGTGGTTGAACCCTGAGAGTGGAGGTCAATGGAAAGAGACTGGGGTGGGTTGGGGGCAGCTCCCGCACTGGCCACATTCTGGACCTGACCATACAGTTCTTCACGAGGGTATACTTCTCAAGCTATGAGGATAGAACATATTTTGTTTAATAGTTTGTTAGCTTGATTTAAAACTTAAACATAGTCTGACATAGGGTTATAGGGGTCCATTGTGAAGATTGTCAAGCAGATAAAATGTTACATTGGTGTCATCTGAAGATCTCGATTTTGGGGAGAGGTTCCTGAGTGTGCGTGCTGGCGCCCTGCAGGAATTCATCCTCCCGGCCCTGTCTGCCTGTTCCAGGGGGGCTGGGGGGCCCTGCCAAGTGGGTGGACTTACTGTGCTT